GGGCTGCGCCTCACCCCCAAGCGGGGCTCCAGCAGGCTCCGGTCCGGTCAAGCCCGCCCGCCGAGCATCCCCGAGGAAGGCGCTCGAGCGCCGAGCAGGCCAATCACGCGCGCAGGCCCAGCAGGGGTGGGGCGGGCTGAGAGCCGAGCGGTCTGATTGGCGTCGGCGTGGCACGGAAGCCGCCCCGGAAGCGGAAGCCGGCTGCCGCGGCTAGAGCGGCTCGGCCGGGCTGCGCTTCCGTTGCCGCGGGGCTTGTCCGGCGGCGGCGCGAAGGAGGCCTGCTCCGCCCGGGCGGCCGTGGGGCTGCGCTGCCGGGCGCCTCCTGCTTCCCGACGGGGCGGTCCCGGGCGTGGCGGGGAAAATGCTAGAAAAACATGCAGAAGCCAGGAAATCACGCAATGGTGGGCAGTTGGGGGAAGGGGTTGCAGTCAGGAGAAGGAGGGCTGCTTTGCGGGGCTTGATGGGTTAGGGTGCACTGCATTCGCAAAAAACAGGCATCAAGGGTTGTCTATAGAGCAAAGTAAAATGCGTTAAAACAATATGGTGTTAAAAATTAAAATGCAACAAAACACAGACAATGGTATTAAAAAGAGCACCGAACACGCAAGATGCAACTGACAAGCTGAAAGTTGCTTACATGAGGTGGTTCTGCCTGCAGGTGGAAAGACAGCCAAAAGGGAGCAAACCAAGCCTTTCTTGGGTGGCAGGGGAGGGAATTCCATAGCCTTCCAGAGCTGTTTGCCACTGTGCGAATGGAGTACTGCACTGGATGTATAGGTCTGATCTGGCATGGCTTTTCTTACGTCCTTACGGAAGCAGCCACCAAACAGTCCCTCTCTCGGATCACTGCCAAATGCACCTCTGAAGATGCGCTCGAAAGAAGGGCCACTCCAGCAGCTTTTCGAAACCAGATAGGCTTATATGGGAGAAGGCAGATTGGAAGGGACCTTACGGAGGCGAGAGTTAGCATGTGGGCTTGAGGGTTCAACACTTAAGCCGAACGCATGTGCTCTAACACTGTGCTATGACTTTCCTCACAGAATCTTTAAAAGAAAGGTGCAATATTAATCTAATGCATGAATAAATAAAATACAGCAAGCATTTCCTTTTCTAATATGCTTCCTCAAAGCCATTCTCCAAAAGCAAAAGTGGGGGTAAAAACTAATGTAAAAACAGGAGTAAAACAAATGTGTTGGAAAGCAAGTGTGATTTCTGACAAGGCACCCAGTCCATGACTTGAAATGTTGCATTCCAGTTTAGGCACAATACAGTTAACACCCCCCCCCCCCCCCAGTAACTGAACAGAATAGGAGAATAAGAAAATCCCTGTAAGATGTTTGCCTCCAGCAAGTGCAGCCATCATAGCTAAGTGCCTTTTGTTATACAGGATAAAAGGCCAGCTCAGGCTAACCTTTACCAAGTACCACCATTTCCAGTGCTTGAGCGTATATTTAAGAAAGTTGTGGTGTCACAGCTGAAGTCATTAAAAGACTGCTGAACTCACTTGGCCTGGAGAGACAACACTTGCTAATTCTTGTCTGCAGGAAAAGGTTTTAGTGCAGGGAAAGGTAAACGCTCCTAAGAGTCATTACTACAAGTTGCCTCCACTGTTTTCTCAAAGTGTGCGCACACACACATAGACACCTCAAATCTGTGGAAGATTCCTTCCCAGGGCTTGTAGATCTGAAGCAGAACTTTGCCAAGAAGGCAGCTAATTTCCCCATTTAAGCACACCCTTGAGACTGATTGTTGTTGTATTTTTCTCTATAAATGTCAAAACAAGAGACAGCAAGCAAGATCCAAGTGCAACAGAGTGCTCAATCGCTCATTTCCCAAGTGGAATGGAATAAAAATGACAAAGCAAAAATTGTATCGTGTGTGTGTGTACACATGTATCACTCCCAGTTGTGAATTCACCTGGTAAGGGAGATGAATCTGATAGAAGGTGAAAATCGGATGGATTTTCACCCCAAGATTCCAACCTATGAGCCCCATGCAACTGCTGACTCGCCATGATGCAGCTGAGACAGATAGATACCTGCTTCAAAGATGGGCCATGAGCTGCACATTTTGAACCACAGATGATCAAAATGACCATTAAAAAGCACCTGAAAACCATGCAGATCGAGCTTGATTTGGGCAGAGTCAGCTGGTACACACAAATTACGCCTTTGCACAAATGGGCCTATCTTGTACAAATTGGGTGAGCTTTGGGGTGCCCCTTTGTGCAAGTTTTGCTTAGCACGCGCATCCATCTTAGGAATGGAAGTCTCCAAGAAAACCCTTCTTTGCCCTTTCCAATCAGAAGTGGGCAGGAGATCCGCTGAATTTGGATGAAGCCAATTTCCCTCTTCTGTGGCATCCCAGGTGCCAACAGGACCACGGCCAATCTGGGTCCATTAATTGGTGACGTTTGCATGTTCTCTCTGCACTGCATCAGCAGCGTGGACAGCAGGATGGAAAGTCTGACAGCAGAGGGCCTGTGTAAGCCATGCAAGCTTCACACAAGGAATTGGGAAAGTGATTTGCTGGAATGAAATGCCATTAACTTTGCCATTATTGCTGATTGGGTCAGTGTACAACCCACTGACAGAACAGTGAGGATCTTTTCTGTGCAGCAAGTATGCAGCAGTGGTTCTCGCATCTCTTTGCGTGCTTCAGTCGATAGAGAGTAAAAAAGAAAGCCTTGCATCTTTGCAACAGCACCATGTTCCCACAATACTGCCTTAAAAGAAATCACTTCCACTGATAAGAGTGTTAATCACAGAGGTTCTCTTTGCTCGTAACTCAAGAGATTCTTGACCCAACTGTGTGTTTATCTACAGAGTCCCTGTTAAAGCAGAAAGCAAACACCATGCAAGGGCACTCTTTGGTTCTGCATGTCTGCTTGGCATGCGTACATCTTTCCACCCAACAACACCCACAAAATCCACTGGGCCAGACACAGTGCTACAAGTTCCTAGCCTGATGGAAAGCCAGCCCTCACGTGGCAGCGTGGCAGGCACCCAGGCGGAGAGCAAGCCCCCTGCCACACAGTCCTTCCCACTGCTTCATGGCCAGTGCCGTCATCAGCGATTCAGGCTGCTTCCAGCGTATTTACTTGAGTTGTTTGAGTCTGAGAGGGCTCCAAAACGCAATTCGGAATAAGATGAGATTCTTTTGTGCCAAAAGCAACCCCGACCACTTGTTTTTGGCCCAGGGCACCCAAAAGTGAGGAGTGGGGATGGAAAATAAGGAGTACATGTAATCCCATGTATGCTGTAACAGGAAAATGCCTGCTCTCAGCATAGCCATGCTAGGGAATGCTAGGAGTCATGGGCCTTTCCCCCTGGCGCAACATATGTAAGATTGCATTTTCAGGCAGCTGCTTCCTTCCCACCCTACTCTCTCCAGTGTCACTACCATGTTTTCAGAAGACTCAAGGGATACTCCCTAAAATAAGAAACCTCAGTCCAGACACACAAGCAGTGTTCCTGTATTAGTGCCATGCACACTTTTGTGTAACTGTGGAAGGTACCTATTGGACCCGATTTGATGACATTGCCAGTCACAAAATCACCATCTTCTCCCCTTTGTGTTGTTTTGGGATGGTGATGGGGCAACCATCTTCACAGTGGAAAGCAGGGGCTGGGGAGACTTCAGGATTATGGGGTCTACTTTGCTTTTCACTATAACCCCAAGGAGAACCTGGTGCAAAATAGGGGGATGGGCAGACACACACAGAAATGAGAGAACACAGTGCCTCTGAGCATGCAAAGAATGGATGCCTCTGAGCATCAGTTAAAACCCTTCCTCCCTGATTTTCATCTAGTCTGTGCTAAAAACTGTGGAGGACCCAGGGTTTTGAATGCAGTAACCAGGCAATGGGTTTCATTCCAGATGCGAAGAATGTTAACTCTGACTCCCTTAGCAGTTAATGTATACACCATTTTAACGGTACGCTAATTGTTTCACATCGGACAGTAAGACATAAATTATAACCCATTGGGTGCTAATTGCATGTTCTTACCTTGTACCTAATTATCCTTTATTCATGAAAAAAGAGCATTAGAATGCTTAATTTTGGATTCCAGGAAATAAAAAAATATTTCCAACGAAGAGGTTGCTCTAAGCAAATGTGCACAGCATCTTCATTCGAGTCTTTCAAGGACATTCCTGTGTTGGTGCAGAGCAGGACTCGGGTTTCTTTGTATGCCAACTTGAGCATCCAAGGTAAGGCTCAGCTCTAAATCTACTCAGAAACTGCAAACTAGTCTGGAACAGGTTGGGCCCTCCTCCTCAGAGCGATGGATAACCTGCCAATAACATGGGCAGGTGTGGACGATGGTTTCCAGATTAAGTGCAGGCAGAAGAAATGGTTTGATTTGCTCTGAGCATGAGGTAGGTGGGTCTGAGGGTTGGAGTCAGGGCTTGGGTGATGGACCCTGAAATGCTGCACACTCTCTGCGATGCTTCCCACCCGCTGGCACTGGTTGGGTATGAGTATGCAGACAGTCACAGCCATCAGCATCTGCTTTCAGAAGACTTGAAAAGGAGTGCCCCTGAGCATCCCAGGAAAGGTCAAGTTGCTTGTACCAGAATGTTCGCCACCAGCTCCAAGTCATTCAGGACCCCGGAGAGCACCCTCGCTCACTGCTGGGTGGAATAGTCCCCCTCCAAGAAGTCCTTGCCCCAGCAAAGCGATGCGGTCCACTGGGACTTTATGCAGGGTGGCAGAGCCTCGCCTTGCAAGGGCCCTGCCTGGGTTGGAGGTCAATTCGTGGCCTGAAAGACCAGTGCCCATTTCTGGAGTCTTTTGTTCCTCTGCAGCTGAGGGGCAGGAGAAACTGTGGGGAAGCCGTCCTCATTGCCCAAGGTGGGGGAGCAACGTCCTCTGGTCATTGAGAAGGGGTGTTGTTCACGCCCCCACCCCCAGTGGAGATACCAGTGACCCACCTGCTCCACAGGCTAGTGCAAAGCCCGGGGATGTGGCCCTGAGCACAGGTGGATGCGGCTTCCCTGTGGTTCTGCGAGAGGAGAAATATGAAAGCTGTACCTCCGAAGGGGTGCCAAAACACCTTCAGATGCCGCTGGAAACTCCCCTCCCCACCTTTACCTGGAGAACTTTGGAAAAATCTCCTTTATTTATTCAATTCATGGCTCATCCCACTG